CTTGAGGAGCGAGGAGCCAGGAGCCGCAGATGAAGCGCTGGCTCCACCGCAGGCACGCATAGGGCCTCTCCCCTCTGTGGACGCGCCGGTGCTCCCTGAGCGTGAACCTGCGGCCGAAGGCCTTGCCGCACTGGCCGCCCTGGAAGGGTTTCTCCGGCGCGTGGACCCTGCAGTGTGCAGCCAGCTGGGCGCCCTGCCGGAAGGCCTTGTCACACTCGCCGCAACGGAAGGGCTTCTCCTCCGTGTGGATCAGCTGATGCCTCAGGAGGATGGAGCTCTGCTTGAAGGCCTTGCCGCAGTCGGTGCACTGGTAGGGCTTGGCCCCGGTGTGGATGAACTCGTGTCTGCGCAGCAGTGAGTTGTACTTGAATGCCTTGCTGCAGGCCGCGCACCTGTGGGCCCTCTCCTCCGCCGTGTGGGTGGCGCCTGGGCCCCTCCGTTCTCCTTCCAGGGCCGCCGGGGACAAGCTCAGCTCCGCGCTAGTGCCGCCTGTGGGGAGCTGGAGGAGTGGCTTCTCTGACCCATCCTCAGGACTGCCGTTCAGTTCAGGTAACTGGGGGGTCCTCCCTGGCGAGGTGCCCCCAAACCGAGCCCAACAGCCCTGCCTCCTTAGAGTACCCTCCCCTCAGAAAAGAATCCTTGACCCTGGCCTCTGCCCTGGAATCTGGAAGAATGAACAGAAGACGGAAGGCTCAGCCAGCCTTTATATTCACAAAAGGAACTTACTGGTTTGAAGACAGAATCTTTATATCAAACAAGTAGGGTGGTTTGAGAACTGCTTGCAAGAAGCTTTAAAATCAGGGTTTGGATGAGAAAGGGGACAAAAAGGAAGGTTAGTAGGGGTGGGAGGCTGGCTCACGTGGGGCACTCAAAAAGGGGGAGGGAGGGCACTGACTTGGCCCAAAGGATTGGGGTCAGACTGGGAGCAGGGCGGGACCAGCAGGGTGTGGGGCTGTCACCCACAGCTCACTCCCCCGGCTAACACCTCGGGGTCCTGCCTGTGCATCATGCAGACTGGAGGCCACCTCACCTTCCTTTCTGCAGCCTCTGTGGCCCCGAGCTCAGCACCTGGCACATGAGCTACCGGGAACTAGGGGATTCCAAGCAGCTCAACGGTCTCCCCTGTTGGGTTCCCCCTACACTTGGCTGCCCCCAGAGAACTGACCTGACACCTTGGCCTCCTTGTACAATTTAGTCCTGGGTGACCTCGGACTGCAAGCAGGGGGTTTCACAGGAAATGTGCCCCTGCTTTGAGGAGGTTACTGCACAACCCTCCCACTGTGTGAGCACCCAGGGGCCTGCAAGGAGCTGTGTGAAGGCCAGGCTTCCCCACACTCCCACTCACCCCAGGCCAGGCTGGCCTTGGTCCCTCGCTCCTCAGCCACCTGCAGAATCAAGGCCCCTGGCTCCTCCCCTTGCTCCAGGAGGGAGATCAGCGCTGGTTTGGCAACAAGAAAGCCTGTGTGTAGGGAGGAGAGCAACAGGAGTCAGGGAGCAGGAGGGAGGGAGGACACGTGGCTGCCTGGCCAGAGGCCTTGGGGGCATGCCCTTGGGGGGCCTGGGAGTGGGTTGGAAACGCTTACCTTCCCAGGAGCAGGGCAGCTGGGTGGCCCAGGGAGACAGGAAGGGCCTTCCAGCTTCCCCTCTGAACCCCTCAGACTTCGCATTTGGAAAGGAACCAGCTCCCCAGCACAGCCAGTGAAAGGGGCAGGCCTGTCTCTAAGCCCAGGCCCAGGAGCAACCAGGAAGCCTCACCAAGCGAGGCCACATGCCCGCAGTTCTCCAGCATCATGTCCCCGTACAGCGCCCGCTGGTCCGGGGCCAGGCAACTCCACTCTATCCTCGTGAAGTACACGGCCACGTCCTTGAACACAGTTGCCTCCTGCAACCATAAACCCTTTGTCCAGGGCTGTCCGGGAAGGAGATGCGGAAATCACATAAGGAACATTCAGGGAACCTGTTCAGCTCTGGGAG